GCTTCGGCTATTATTGATTTCTTCAGGTTTGGTATGCCATCCGAACTGCATTCAGATCATGGCCGTAACTTCGAATCGGCTGTGTTCCATGAAAGCTGCAAGTTGTTTGACATACGAAAGACCAGAACAACGCCACTACACCCACAGTCTGATGGGATGGTAGAAAAGTACAATTGGACACTGGGACAGGAATTGGCAAAGTTTTGTAATCGCCGCCAAGATGACTGGGGTGTTTTACTCCCTCCACTGTTGATGGCCTATAGAAGAACAGAACATGAAGCCACTGGATACACTCCAGCACAGTTGATGTTTGGTCGAGAACTTTGGTTGCCAGTGGACCTGGTAACAGGACGCCCACCTTATGAAGAGTTGCCTGAAAATGTGCCAGAGTTCATGAAAGTGTTATTTGAAAGGGTGGGTGATATTCACCATCAAGTGCATTCAAACTTGAAAACGTCTGCTGATTCCATGAAGCTATGTTATGATAAGAGATCGACTGAAGTCAGCTTTGTACCAGGAGACAAGATGTGGTTGTATAATCCCAGGAAGACCAAAGGGAAGTCTCCTAAGTTGTCTTCTCCATGGGAAGGCCCATATGACATAGTGGATCGTCTCTCAGACGTGATTTTCCAAATAAAATGTGGTCGGCGAGGTAAGCCAAAGGTGGTGCATGCCAACAGGCTTAGGCATTATCATGGTCCAGGACATTTCAGTTGGAATGAAATGAACAATTGAACAAATGTTGCTGCTGAAGACATGTCACCTGAAAAACCACTGTTGAAAAAAAAACTCTACCCAGTTTTGAGAGGGAAACAGTGAAGCTGTTAATGAAGTTACTACCACTAATGTGACTGCTACAGATAATGTGACATTTTCTGATGGAGCAGATGAATCCCACGTGAAGCAGAAGACAATGAGACAGAGACCAGTACGAAAGAAGAAACGTCCTGTAAAATTAAGATACTTTGTTGTATTTGAATTTTGTGTTTGTAAATTCTGTACATTTAATCAAGTTATTGTTAATTATCTATTGGTTTAATGTAAGTGGCTATTGTTCGGGACGAAAAATTCTAAGGAAGGGGCAGTGTTACGACAGCAGAAGGCACGTGACGCTGATAACACGCGATGAGATTCTCTAAGGATCACGAATTTTCCTGTTAACTCTAGTTTGTTCCAGGGGCCCTCTTTTTTAGTATATAAGCCCGGCAAATAAGGAAAATAATATAATTGCATAGACAGATAGATTGAATATGAGATAATTAAGGAAAGCGAACAGTAGGCACCGTAAGTAAAGTGCGTGAATCACTGTGATATATAGCGTGTGTTATAAAAGTTCTTAAGTGTATTACAAAGTTGTATCGAGAAAGAATAAACTAGTTTTAATTAAGAAAGGACTTGTATCGCTGAAGTTCCTCGGGAAGAATTTATACCGGAAATTAATAAACGAACAGAAACGTAACAATAATAATGGTCGACACACTATTTATATGAGCCGTTTGTTACAACAACAATTATTATGGTGTTAATGCCCTTTACAAGCTGACAAAAATGACTACAGTTGCATTGTCATCAGGCATTGTACCTGGCCTATTACATTATTAGACCCAACGGTCTAGATCTGACGTGTTTGCAGAACTAGCTCTAAAAAACCCCCAATGGCATAATGATATTTTAACCCTTTATTGGATCTTTGTATATAAAGAACTTGAATAAAAACCAATAAAAAATAAAACAAAATAATAATAAAACATACATCAATTCAAATATATTTTAATAAATTGACAATTTCTTCACTGGATGGTATTCTAAGTGAACCATTCGATTAATTTCATGTAATCAAAATCTGAATGTTTTCAGTAACTTTCACTAAAGGGTGTTTGGCATTAATTCTTGTACCAACAGAGTGATCAATTTAATGTAGTCAGAATCTGAAGTGTTTTAGTAATTTCATCACTAGAGGGTCTCCTTGTTGAATCTTTGTGCCAACAGCGTTGGATCAATTTAACGTAGTCAGTATCTGAAGCGGGTAGATTGTTGGGAAGCTGTGGTCTCTTCCCAAGGGCAACAACCTTAAAAGGAAAAGGATTTCATTTATTAGATAATAACAAATGAAGACTTCTACACATCATCACTCGTTTTTGACCGATTTGTTATCAAGCTTCATAAAATAAGAATTTTGCTTATTATCCTTAAACACAATCATTTTCCAGAAACCAGAAATGAAATAACATTATTTTCTACTCATTAGCTCGGAATGATCTGACCCAAGTTTCTGATACCAATTATGAAATGTAACATATTCATCCATCCAAACAGAGAATAATAATAAAATGTAACATATTCATCCATCCAAACAGATAATAATAATAATAAAATGTAACATATTCATCCATCCAAACAGATAATAATAATAATAAAATGTAACATATTCATCCATCCAAACAGATAAT